TTTTTCTTTTTTTTTTCAACACTTTATTCTTTTTCTTTTTTTTTCTTTTTTTTAATCACACACCCCCAAACTTTTTTCCTTTTATGATAGTGGGGTGAATGCTAAGCATTTTTTAACTTTTCGACAACTTCACTTCTACTTTATTCAACATCTAGCTCAATACATATTCTAAAATGATTAACATACTTAAAGATGAGGGATGCAAAATTGAAATTTTATTTTTAGGCTAGGCTAATTGAAATTGGTGTTTAACAAAGAAAAGGTAATATAAAGCTTAAAAGGGTATACTAGAGATGAAATTATGTCAAGGTTAGGTCAAAAGGCTCAAATAGTCCATCGATGGCCTAATTCATCTCCTAGGATTTTGCCTAAGATTTTTAAGAGTCTATAGCTTAAGCTGTTTTGTGCTATTTTTTTGATGATTTGTTCCAACCTAATGATGATAATTTAGTTATCTTGTTATCTTGACTATAGGAAAATGTGGGTATAATTTGAGTTTATGATAAATTCTTGTGTGAGTAACATTGTTAGAATGAGATTTCCATTTAATGAGCACTTTATCTTTTACTTAGAATTGTTGTGCATATCTAGAAAGGTTTATGTTAATATGAATTTTAGATATGTCATGAATTCTAGAATTTGTTTGATTCTCTCTTGATGAAAAATCTTAGGCAAGACTTAGTTATAGAGTTGAATTAGGCCATTTGAGAACCATTTGAGTTTTTCAAGCCAACCTTGATATATTTTTATTCCTAGTATACCTTGTTAAACCTAATTGTACCTTTTTTTTGTCAAACACATAATTATTTAACCTAGCTTATAAATAAGATTCCAATTTTCTAACCTTCACTCGTAAGTATGTTAAGTAGTTTAGGAAGTGTATTGAGCTAATGATAGGTTTATCACATAGAGTTATTTTGACACATTTTGGGGTTTAAGTTGTTAGATTTTTTAGATTATAGGTTCGGATCATGGCATTTAGTGTTTTTCTAGTTTAAGTTTGATTATATGTTAAGTATTTAATTTAAGTTATTTTAGTTGAATTTTATGTTATTTTGTCTCAAATTACTTTAAGAGTAATTACCACTAGTTTTCTTTATTGCTTTCTAGGGAAATTTGATTAAAAAGAGTCATTTGATGAAAATTAGCGCAAGTATGGTGATAGCTTCATTCATATATATTACGGTATTTTGACCATATCTCTCTATTCAGAACTCCAAATGAATGGATTCTTAGACCACTAGAACACTAAGAGAAAGAGCTACAACTTTTATGTTTACCACGTTACCTAGTTCTGATCATATTTGGGGAAAATATTTGTCTAATTTGGAGCACTGTAGTATTTGTGGACTGAACATGATGCAGCTTTTGGAGCATATCTTGCACTGCAAAAGTCCAATTGATGTGGTTCTTGAGCCATTATAAAGATAAGAAATAAGGATAAAACTTTCATGTTTGCCGCTTTTCCCAGTTCAGATCATATTGAGGTGAAAATTTTGTTGGACAACGCTCGATAGATGCAGTTTTGCACAAGGTAGTAGGGTGATTACAACCACGATGCTGAGCTACTGATGGCCACGGCGGTGAAGGAACCACCACCGTATTGTTGGAAATTTGTGATTGTGGTGCTGGGCTGGATGGGTGCATCATACAAAACCTAAGAGAATGGCACCACAGCATTAAAGAAGTAGTGCCGCGATGCCACCAAAGTCTGTCACGATGCTTTGGTGACAAGAAATCACAGCGACGGTGCTACCCCGAGTTTTCAAAAATAAAAATTTGATGAAATTTTAGAAATTAGGTTACTTGGTGCCTATTTCAGAGACATCTTTCAGAGGTTTAAAGGGGGAGGTAGCAAGCAACTATTCTTGAGATTTGAAGCCAAGAACAAAGTAAGAAAACAAGAAAACTTAAGAGAGAAATGAGATTGTAAAGCTTCAACACTTAGTTTCTTTCTCTACTTCTGTGTTTTTTTTATTTTCTTTGACTTGGATTCATGCTTCAAGTTCTTTGGATGTTGCTTTTATTAGTTATTATGAGCTAAATTATCTTTCTAGGATTGTGGTGGATTTCAACATGTAATCTAAATATTTGTTTGTCTTTTATTTATCATGAATAGGTATAGTTTTGCTTATGTAAATATGTTCTTAATGCTTTTGATTGCTTGGCCAACAATTAACTAATTTGTGAATCTAATGGAGACTCGACAAAGAGATTTTAGATTGGACTAAAGTTTGAATAATGCATGTTTATGTCATTTAGGTGATTTGATTTGCGATTTGGGTCAACATATGCCAATTGCCAAACATAGCCATACTAGGACACTTGCTTAATAAACTTAATTTAATTGATTCTTATAGACATATAGTGAACTAATGAAGTTAGGTATTTGTACAAGCAACTCAACGAAGACTTGTCTATAGCTTGGGATTCTAGGTTAGTAAAACCACCCAAGAAAGATAAATAATAAGAAAAGCTAGAATCAAATGAAATGTTGAATGAACCCATAATCCTCGGTCTATAATATACTGCATTTCTCAACATATTTAGTTTGTTAGTTTATTTTGTGTTGATTGTTAACTTTTTGTAATTAATTTTTTTTGAACTTTTAAATTACTTAAATAAGATTAATTTGTTTTATAATTTTAGTACTTAGTGAAACTTTAGAAACAAATCCTTGTGGAAACAATAATCTAGACTTACTGTTTATATTATTTATTCGATATGTATACTTGCGTGTGCAAAATCAACAACAACTAACTAATGAATAAGGTAGAAAGGGTTGAGTTATTAAAAAATTCAATTATGCTTAGTTATTAAAAAAATTCAATTATGCTTAGTGTTCACTCCATTATCTATATTAAAAAGAAATAAGTTTAGAGGTGTAGAATTGTGATGAAAAACAAGAAAAAACAAAGAAGCGAAAAAAGAATAAAGTGTTGGACAAAAGAAAAAGTTAAAGCCACGTAGAGGGAAAAAGGTCATAGAATGATTATGTGCTTAGGGTAATTAGAGCCACATCAATGTCTTATATCCTACCTTTACCGTAGCTATTCATTACAAGCTTAGTAAAGATCTAATGATCCTTGACTTAGTATTAGTCTATGTTAGTGGAAAAAGAGATGAAAAACAAACCTATGGGATTCTTGTACTAACTTGAATTTTGCATAAGCATAAATTTATTCGGATTGTATGATATTCTTTGTAAAAAGATTACACGCATACAAAAATCCATTTAAGAATGAGCTTGCATTTGAATTCAAACATGATTTGGATGGCATATATGTTTTACTTTGAGTTGAGATTTTAAGATAACTTTTAAGGAAACAATAGGAGACCATTGGTTTAGTTTAACTTATCTTTAGCTAATTGTCCACTTTATTTAATTGTTTTCATCATTTATGTTGCTTCCATTTTGTTTAAGATTTCTTTTATATTTTTGCTTGAGGACTAGCAAAATCTTAAGTTTGAGGGTGTGATAACTCTATGTTATAGAGTTATTTTATCACTTTTTCAGCATTAAAATCGGTTAGGTATTTAAGTTTTGATTTAAATTTGTCTCATTTTAGTAGTTTATTTTAAATACTTAGTTAGGTTAATTTTAGTTGATTTTAGGTTGATTAGGTCTTTTTTATTAAGAATAGTAATGTGCTTTAGTTGCTTTTGAAGGTGTTTGGATGAACAAAAATGAATCGGAGCTGAAAAATGAAGCTTGGATTCAACATAGAATGTTAGGCATTGCGACCATGGAAAAATGAGCAACACGGCATCGTGAAGAAGGAGAAGCCTGACCACAAAACAGAGAAGTTGGCACCATGCCTCCAGAATGTAACACTCATAATTTTTGACATCGCTTATACGTGATAAGGGCTAAGTTATTGAACAATAAATTTGAAACCCGATGTGTATGGTTCTGGAGTATATGTATGAACTATATTGTAGAGAGAATGATCTTGAAACTTGTTTTATATTAGGAGACTTGTTTGATGATAGGTGAGCTTGTTAAGTGTAAGAAGCAGACTTTATAATACTTAGGCAACAATTTTATGAACATATTTGAGGAATCCAAAGGTGTGATGCTTAAACTAGTAAATGATGGAGATTTTAGCTTCATAAATGTAGATAATGAAACTGAATCATCCCCTTTGTCATTAGTTGGATCATCCTCTTTTGACCTCTCCTCCTTTATCATATTTATGTTTGGGTTATAATCTGGATCTTGTGAACTTAAATCCATATACTCTTTAGCAACATTAGTGCATTGCCTAGTAAATTTTGTAAATGGTTGGGTCAAATTTCGTAATCCAACAACTAATTCATCCAAAGTAGTGCTCTCAAAAGTAGGTCCACTAACCTCAGTGCTGTTTGTACTAGCACTCCTTCAATCACTCAAACTACCCTCACTCGAACGTCGAGAACTCCTCCTTCCCCTTCTTCTAGGACTACTTCACCCTCGTCACACAAAAACCCGTAATCGCTCATTAGTCTCTCTTAGCGCGTCTGGTCACCCGTAGCCCTCAAAGATGTACGAGTTCAAGGCAGCATCTCAAACTTGGACATCGGCAATCAATTCTCATTATTTAATTTTCTCTTATAATTACACAAGGTGGCTTTCTAAATTGTATAAAGAAGTCCAAACAACCTCTTGCCTATAATCGGTGCTGCAATCACTAACTATAAACAAGACTCTACGTCGACTTCACTACTTTTCTGCTTGACACAAGAATTCTTAAGACTTGACTAAACCTTGGGCTTTGATTCCACGTTTGTAACGACCTCTTCCCCCGATCGTTACCAATATCCTAGACTTGTGAGTGAACCCGCCAATCTTGAACAAGCCTTGGTTAAGATTTCAAGCAATTTAGAATCGACTTGCAATATTAATGCTATCGTTTACTTAAACTAAATAAACATAATATTTAAAACATAGCATCTAGATACCAATAAACAGGTGTAATAACTCCAAAGTAATTTCAACATCACAAGTGGTATTCATTACACAACCTCAGGTTTTAGCACATACATTTCATATAGACTATTTATCTTTTTAAGTTTGACTATTTGACACAACACAACCTCTATGCAGCGGAGCAACTCAAAGCGAAAGTCTAAGAGATGCCATTACCTACGTTGTAGCAAATCAAGGTTTGTAGGGACAATATACTCGAGCTGATCACTTATCTACAAAAGGAAATAATGGGGTGAGTCTCACAAACTCAATGATCATCAACTCCGTGAGTAGGGTGTAAATGGTAAATAAGCTAAAGGTAAAAGATTGAAAAATTAAAAATATAAGAACATATGTAAACAATTTATGCCTTATATGTAAAACAGGAAAGTTAATGCAAGATATTCATTAAAAATCAAGTATCCAACCAATTCAAGTAAGATCTCTACTGTTGAAATCCTTTAGCAACTTACTTAAAGCAAATCGGTAAAATACAAGATTTTTCCATCTTTGAATTCATCGAACAACTTTACTCAAAATAGTCCGTAATAAACACGCATGCTTCCTTAAAATCAAGAGCTATCAAAGCTTATACACAATTTCACAAATCACCTCATACGTGAGGAGTTAAATCCAACATCATAGTATAAATAAAGGAGCTGCAAAAAATCTTATAATTCTGACCATGCGAAAGAACACGCATTGAAAACCCAAAGAGATATCACTCTCGAGTAGGTAATAGAAATGAAGAACTTGTGGCTCGCTTCCACATAATAACATCCGGGAGCTTCATTCCACCAGATCCCCATAACCATGGCAGTCTTAACGATATTGGCTGACATCAAAGAAATCAAGCAGTCATAACCACGTACATCACTTGTGGCCTAGACATATATATCAACCCGTGGCCTTGCCACTTACTATATCATAAACGTGCCCCAACCACGTCTAAAGTCCTAAGCAACCCAAAGTCTCTACCTAAAGCTCACTTGTGCACAAGGTCACGCTATCTTAATGTGACATTCGACCTATTCTCGAATATCCCGACTTTAAAAATCAGTTTAGGTTCTCAAAAATCCATTTCAAAAGTCATTTTCGAAATATTCAACACGGTAACATGATAAAATTTCTTATAAGACTTTATATCATAAAACCTTTACATGAGATTAAAAGATCAATTCGCATGGTGGATATGTGTTTCAATCATGATTGCACATCACACAAACTATAAGGCACATTTTGACATAAATCATATTAAAAAGCTTGTTTTCCGATTTTGAAATCCTTTACATATATAGCTTTTATATATACATATATTCAAAGCCATTTTCAAAATCTTGGCATCCACAATTTCCTAGCATTTCTACCAGCTCAT